GTAAACCTGCAGATTGAGAGCGAAGTGCTCTGTTAGGAACATAATCTTAAAAAAATAAATGTTTTTTCATAAACAGCGCTCTGTTTTGAACATTTTTAGCGTTTCCTCTCTCAGCGACACCTGAAGGTGATCGAATGTAACTACAGAGCATAGATTATAAAATGCATCTCCTCTGAACAAATGATCAGACATTTCCATACATGTTTGATAGCTTTTATTTATTTATTTATTTTTTTGTTGCTGAATTTTTTTTTCTTTGTGCCCCCCCCCTAACGTGAAAGGACAAGAACGAGAAGAGCGAGGTGCTGTCAGCCCAGGTGGAGGCTGCCTTGCTGGCGAAGGACCGGGAAATCCTTCGCCTTCTTGAAAACGTTCAGCGGCTTCAGTTCACGCTACAGGAAGCTCAGGAGGCTTCGTCCAATCAGATCCTAGAGCTGGAGCGCCAGCTGGCGTACAAGACGGAGGCCGTGGAGGTGAGAAATGACAGAACATACCATACAGTTTGCTTAGATTGAGGATAATGATGTAGAAACAAAATGTGTTTGATTTGTTGGAGCAGAGATTAGAGGCTAAGCTGCAGTCCCAGATGGACTATGAGGAGATTAAAACTGAGCTCAGGTAAAAAGTGCTGCAGCTTGAATCTAAGAAGCCGTAAAGCTCATATAGATGCAATTAAGATCCATCTTCTCTCTCTCCAGTATCCTGAAGGTTATGAAGCTGGCTTCAGCAAACGGCAGCTCGTCTCAGGTACGGCGGCTCCAGCTCACACAGCACTTTATATATTAAAAGTCGTCCATTTATAAAATGAAATGTCTGGTTTCCTTCTAATCATCTGTTGGTGTTTGGGAGAAGAAGGAGCCACTGCAGTGCTATTGATTCCTTCATTGATCCATCACCCATTATAAGGATATTGACAGCCACTGGTATGGATTCATCAGAAATTAACAGCGTTGCTGTGTGTGTGTGTGTGTGTTTTATAGGATTCTGCCAAGGCTGCAGAGGCTCTTCTGTTAGATAAAGAGGTCTTTCTTCCATCTCAGAAGTTCATGGGAGATAAAAGCAGAATATTGCACAGTAATGGTAAGATACGCCTCACAGTGCGGCTAAAAACAACCTGCTGTCTTAAGCTTTCTTTTCTTTTTGCTTTGCTTATATTTTTCAGAGAATATTTAGAAAAAAACATATTGAAAAGTAAACTGATTCAATAAAAAGGGTGATCTTCTGTTTAAATATTGATGTCATTTACTACAAACTATCCTGCTCAAAGTCACGGCAGGCTTTGATTAGGCCACTTCACACTCTAAACGTTGTTTTGGGCAGGGGTGGATTTAGGAAATGTGGGGCCCTAGGCAAAGACAGGCAGGGGGCCCTCTGAATTGAGAAGACAACACATAAA